TATATATATATAAAATATCCCCCCACTGCCACATAGTGTAACCAAAAGCAAAGCACATGATCAGAAGACTGTAACAAATTGATGTCACCTTAACAGTCAGTTCCGTGCCCTGGGCGGCTGATAAAATTGCTGAGTGGGTCTTGTAGATCTTCTGGGCTGGCCATCACCTCCTCTGCGGAAATCTAGCGAGTCTCCATATTCTCCCTCTTCTTCCTACACAAGATAGATCAAGTCTATTTGTTAAAGTGCCCCTTTCACACAGCCTGGAATAAAACCTGAATTTGATGCTCTATGATGATGTAAAGTAAGCAGCGCATACTGTATCTTGCATGCCTTCCTCCCTGTATCATATATCAGCACACATAATAGAAGTAAACCTTCCTACTTTTTCACCACTTGCATATGTAAACTTTTATGAACCAGAGCAATTTTCACATTACTACTAATAGCCTATTGAATAGATAATTGTGTCACTGTTTATGATAGATACACACACACATATATTGCTGTGGAGTCACTTGCTATTGAGTGAGTTTCTGTTCTGTGACAGGCCAGGGAACAAGCGTTTCCATTTGTACTCTGTAAAGCCCTTCCATATGCACTTTGCTTTAACCAGTTGACATCCGCAGTGTTAAACCCCCTTCCCATCCAGGCCATTTTTCAGTATTCAGCGCTGCGGTACTTTAACTGACATTTATTCCGTCATGCAGCGCTGTACTGAAATGAATTTTATACCCTTTTTTGGGGACAGATAGAGCTTTCTTTTGGTGGCATTTATTCACCACTGGGGGTTTTATTTTTTTACTATATTAAGGAAAAATTACCGAAATTTATTTTAAATTTTTATGTTACTTTTATTTTTTTTTATTTATATTAATTTTTTTGCACTTATTGTTATTGCTATTATATAGACTACTACGGGCGGACGGCAAGAGGTTAAAGCTAGTTAGGAATAGTAATTGATGAGTGCATTTGCTATTTGTAGCACTAGTTAGATTTGGTGTGGGGACACACTGGAGGTTTCAGCTGCCATTGAGATGTGCTGGGTTTCGGGTGTGTCCCCATGCCTTTAAGGAGGTTGGGCTACCTCTTGGCAAGCCTGCACCCAAATCATAATTTGCTATATATGCTCCAAGATGAAGGCTCTCGTAGATTAGAGTTAGGACCACTGTTTACACAATTACTAGGCAAGCTGTATTTTTGAGGATTCATTTCATTATTGAACAACAACAGGGCTCTCAGTGTGCACAATTATTGGGCATCTATTAGTGTGCAGGATTATTATGCAACTAAATGGAAAACAAAAATGTTTCCATCTCACTTATTTATTTTCATCTGTTCAGGGCATGTTCACACCGAATCTGGCGTTTCTGCACATGCAGTGCAGTGTGTTTTTGTTGCATTCCGCGACGGTTTTTTAGCCTAAAATGGGCTTTCAGTGCGTCCCAGGGCATTTCCCTGCATTTCTGATGTATTGTGGTGCACTCCAGAGCAGAAAAAATAGAGCATGCTGCAGTTTTTCCACATGCCCTGGAACTGAACGCTGTGGCGTGAACTAGAGCCCAAAATACCATTGGAATATATTGGACGCAGTTTTAATGCGTTCTGTAACTGCGCTGCTTCTGCGCCGTACTTGGTGTTAGCAAGCCCTCAAGTGAGAATAATAAACAAACAACTCAAAATGTACAAATAAACATTTCTGACATTTTCAAACAAAAAGTCAGTGACCAATATTGCACCCCTTCTTTTCAATAACAGTCACAAGCCTTCCATGCATGGAGTCTGTCAGTTTCTAGAGCTGCTGATGATCACATTTTTGTACAGCAGCAACCACAGCCTCCCAGACACTGTTCAGAGGTGTACTGTTTACCTTCACCGTAGATCTCCCATTTTAGAAGGGCCCACAAATTCTCAATAGAGTTTAGGTCTGGTGAGGAAGCCGGCCATGTCATTATTCTTTCATCTTTAAGGCCTTTACTGGCTAGCCACGCAGTGGAGTACCTCGGTGCATGCAATTGAGCATTGTCCTGCATAAATATCATCGTCTTCTTGAAAGATGCAGACTTGTTCCTGTACCGCTGCTTGAAGAAAGTGTCTTCTAAAAACTGGCAGTAGGTTTTGGAGTTGATTTTGAGTCCATCTTCAACCTGAAAAGGTCCAGCTAGCTCATCTTTAATATTTCCAGCCCATACCAGTACCCCACCTTTACCTTGCTGGCGTCTGAGTCGAAGTGGAGCTCTGTGCCCATTACTGATCCAGCCACGTGCCCATTCATCTGGTCCATCAAGTGTCACTCTCATCTCATCAGTTCATAAAACCTTTGAAAAATCCGTCTTCAGATATTTCTTGGCCCAGTCTTGACATTTCAACTTATGTGTGTTGTTCAGTGGTGGTCGGGTTTCAGCCTTCCTTACCTTGGCCATGTCTCTAAACACTGAACACCTTGTACTTCTGGGCACTCCGGAATAGGACAGCACTGGAGGATAATGGGTTCCTCTGAGCTTCACGTTTGATTCTTCTCAAATCTTTACCAGTTATTTTGCGTCTTTCTTTCTCAACATGTTTCTTGCGACCCTGTTGACTACTTGCAACAAAACGTTTGATGGTTCTGTGATCACACCCCAATATCTTAGCAATTTCAAGAGTGCTGAATCCCTCTGAAAGACTTTTTACCATTTTTGACTTTTAAGAGTCAGATAAATCTCTTTTTTGGCCCATGTTGCCCGAGGAAAAGAAGCTGCCTAATTATTATGCACACCTTGATATATTATATTGATCTCCTAAGGCCACACTCTCCCTCATTACACAAATACACATCACCAGATATGTTTAAATCCAATAAGCCTTCAGGTTTATACAGCTTGGAGTTGGACAATATGCATAAAAACGTTGATTTGGTCAAAATACTCACTTGCCTAATAATTGTGCACACAGTGTTCAGTGGGTCCTTGACAAGGCAAAAGTTGTTCAACTAAAACCCTCTGTTTTAACCCTAAAAGTCAGTGTATTTTTTTGCAGGCTGACTGGTGAGTGTGCTGGGACATTTTAGTTTGTGTTCTCCATTAGGGAAGTGTCACCAGCGCAGAATTACCAGTCTGATATGGCCCTTAAGCTGGCCATACACTTTGCGAGTTTTGACATTCTGAAATTCACACAGTGGGTGCCGCTGTCTGCACCCTTTCAGCCAGCATCCCTCGTTAAGAACATCAAAGGAGCCGGTAGGAAAATCTTCAAACAAATGGTGCTTGCAGCTATTCAGCTGCAAGCAGGGTTTGTGTATTCTGACAGCAGCCACTGTCAGAATACAATGAAACCAGCGGGGGATTCATCCAGCAACATTAATACGCATTGATTATTATTATACATGATTTGATGGAGGAATCTGTTCTTATTTTTTTTCATTCTGCTTTCGACTTGAAGGAAAACATTGAACAGTGTATGGCTAGCTTTTCACAGGAGCTCCTAGAGCAGTTCTGGAAATCAGAGTAACCTGGCTGTCAAAATGAGATATTAGCAGTGGAGCAGGAAAATTATGTAAAGTTTATTGTTTAGAAACATAGTGAAGATGAAGTTGTATAGAGCATACACCGCTTCCAAAATCTCCAGCTAGTAAGAGGTCATACACTGTTTTTGGGGCACAGCAAGAATGCTTACACCAATACATTTTATGATTCAGCCATTACTGATAATTATGAAAATATACACCTCCCCAAAATATGATTTCATTAAATAATATAACAGAAGGAAAAACTGAATTCAGAAGAACATCTAGATCTTCAACCTAGATTGATTAACACTATAACTCAGCATGGGTTACCTTGGGGCAAAAACAGCAGATTCAGATACACAGGCAGCTGACATTACATGTAAAAGTTATGTTTCTTGTAAAAGTTAAGCTTGGCCATTCCCTTTGGTCCTAGGCGTCATAATTAAAGGCAGGCTGAAGAGGAGTAGGGTCAAGTACAAGGTCTAATGATTGCTTTAATAAGTGTATTTCACTGAAGGTTATTTCTGCTTTCTATTATTTTCATCATATTCTCAGCTAGAATTGACCAGATGTGTACAAGAGTCAGGAGAGAGGCCTCTCAGGCCGCACAGAGCTCAGCATTTTCCAGGGGTTAAAGATTGTAGGCAGCTTTTACTTGTGCCATCCACTGAGATGCTTGAACATCAATAACGCCTCTGCTACCCTTAAAGAACTCAAAACATGTTTGGATTACTGATCCAGCCACGTGCCCATTCATCTGGTCCATCAAGTGTCACTCTCATCTCATCAGTTCATAAAACCTTTGAAAAATCCGTCTTCAGATATTTCTTGGCCCAGTCTTGACATTTCAACTTATGTGTGTTGTTCAGTGGTGGTCGGGTTTCAGCCTTCCTTACCTTGGCCATGTCTCTAAACACTGAACACCTTGTACTTCTGGGCACTCCGGAATAGGACAGCACTGGAGGATAATGGGTTCCTCTGAGCTTCACGTTTGATTCTTCTCAAATCTTTACCAGTTATTTTGCGTCTTTCTTTCTCAACATGTTTCTTGCGACCCTGTTGACTACTTGCAACAAAACGTTTGATGGTTCTGTGATCACACCCCAATATCTTAGCAATTTCAAGAGTGCTGAATCCCTCTGAAAGACTTTTTACCATTTTTGACTTTTAAGAGTCAGATAAATCTCTTTTTTGGCCCATGTTGCCCGAGGAAAAGAAGCTGCCTAATTATTATGCACACCTTGATATATTATATTGATCTCCTAAGGCCACACTCTCCCTCATTACACAAATACACATCACCAGATATGTTTAAATCCAATAAGCCTTCAGGTTTATACAGCTTGGAGTTGGACAATATGCATAAAAACGTTGATTTGGTCAAAATACTCACTTGCCTAATAATTGTGCACACAGTGTTCAGTGGGTCCTTGACAAGGCAAAAGTTGTTCAACTAAAACCCTCTGTTTTAACCCTAAAAGTCAGTGTATTTTTTTGCAGGCTGACTGGTGAGTGTGCTGGGACATTTTAGTTTGTGTTCTCCATTAGGGAAGTGTCACCAGCGCAGAATTACCAGTCTGATATGGCCCTTAAGCTGGCCATACACTTTGCGAGTTTTGACATTCTGAAATTCACACAGTGGGTGCCGCTGTCTGCACCAAGCTCAGTATTTCACCGGGGGTTTATGACAATTGTCCTGTAAATGTTTCTGTCCACATTACATAAA